CCTCGTTCATTTCCCACGATGTACTCAAGTATTGTAGCTTTGTGCCATACGATACCATGCTTTATAAAGAACCTTAGTCCGGTGTAATTTTTGTAGGGAATTAGATTCTTCCTGCGTGCCTAACACATTGTCCTTGTGCCAGACTAAGCTAAGCTTTGTAACTATCGCCAAAGAAATCAAGAATGATAAAAATAAAGGTACGGGAATGAGTTAAAATTATTAAAAGATTGCAGAGGAAAGAAGTTACACACGGTGTGTGTTTAAGACTGAGTAAGAAATAGATATTGATATATACAAATAAAGTGGGTGAGATAGAAAGAGAGAAAAGGAGATTATAAAGAGAGAAGAGAGAGAGAGAGAGAGAGAGGCGTTCATCAAAAATTAAAAAGAGCGAAGAAAGAGAAGGTTAAGTGATTTAAAGATGTAAAAGAAGAGAAAGAGAGAGGAAAGGAAAGATAATGTGGCAATGAGATAGGAGAACAGATAGAAAACGAAAGAAAGAAAGAAAGAAAGAAAGTGAGAGAGAGAAAGAGAGAGAATAAGAATGAGAGAAAGAAAGAGAATGAGTGAGAGTGAGAAAGAAAGAAAGAAAGAAAGAAAGAAAGAAAGAAACAGTGTGTGAGTGAGATCAAGAGAGAAAGAAAGTGAAAGAGAAAGAAAGTGAGCGATAAAGGAAGAGAATGAGTGGGAGTGAGAGTTAAAGAAAGAAAGAAAGAAAGAAAGAAAGAAAGAAAGTGAGAGTAAGAAAGAAAGAAAGAAAGAAAGAAAGAAAGAAAGAAAGTGAGAGAGAAAGAAAGAGAGAAAATGAGAATGAGAGAAAGAAAGAAAGAGAATGATTGAGAGTGAGAGAGAAAGAAAGAAACAGTGTGTGAGTGAGATCGAGAGAGAAAGAAAGTGAGCGAGAAAGAAAGAGAATGAGTGGGAGTGAGAGTTAAAGAAAGAAAGAAAGAAAGAAAGAAAGAAAGAAAAAGTGAGTGAGAAAGAAAATGAGTGAGGTTGAGAGTGAGAGAAACAAAGAGAAAGAAAGAAAGAAAAAAGTGAGAGAGAAAGAAAGAGAGAGAATGAGAATAAGAGAAAGAAAGAGAATGAAGTGAGAAAGAAAGAAAGAAAGAAAGAAAAAAAAAAGAAAGAAAGAAAAAGTGTGCGTGAGTGAGATCGGGAGAGAAAGAAAGTGAGAGAGAAAGAGAGTGAGAGAGAAAGAAAGTGAGCGAGAAAGAAAGATAATGAGTGGGAGTGAGAATCAAAGAAAGAAAGAAAGAAAGAAAGAGAACAAAAGAGAGCGAGTGAGTGTGACAAACTGAAAGAGGAGGTAATCTGATCAAGCAAATAGAACTGAATAAGCACTGAAGTGTGAGAACGCGAGGACACCAGAGTTCATGACCTCAGTAATTACTTTATACAGATAAATGGGCGATATAGCTGAGAAGAATGTAAGTGATGCGTGTCTGGTCGATGATATTTCAAAATCCCAGCGCCCAGATAACGGCCCCTGACTTCTCACTATAATAGTTCCTCGAGGAATAGACGCCAGATGAATGTTGCCATCTTCGCCTTGTTTGTTCGTTTATTCATTAGGATTCGAGACTTGTCGTTAGGGTTGGATCTTCGCCACATTTCCGACGCCATTCTCCGATTTCAGCACATGGAGTATATCGATTTAGTGTTCAAGTCTGACAAAAGGTTTGCATTTTGCAGTAGAGGGTAAGTATTCTTTTAAAAAGAGTGTGGTTCGAACCCAATACAAACAGTATTTCCAAACTTACATCCAGGTAGAACAACCTGGGTAAGATTAGCAACACAGTATTTCTAGCTGAATTAGCAGTCCTGTTAATCTTCTGTCGTAAGCTTAATTTTAGTCAATGTTACTAGAAAATACTGGAAATTAATTTTTGTAAATATAAGTAGAAAAAATGAAATTTTTTAGCATATTTTCTTAGAGAGAAGTAATTTTCTTAGAGAGAATTAATTTTTGTAAATATAAGTAGAAAAAATGAAATTTTTTAGCATATTTTCTTAGAGAAAAGTAAAATCTGTAACATAATCCAAGGGCGTTTAATCGATAGAATTTGAAATATATAGCCGAATAAGCATTCCATTTGATCTTTTCCTTGAGTAAGCTTTATAGCAATGGAGGAAAAAACAACTAAAAATATTTCAACTCAATTTCTGGCATATCTGTAAGTGAAATTTGGGACATAATGAAATTGTTAGAATTTGAAATATACATGTACCCACAGCGCTGTAATGTCCAAAAAAACAAAATGGTCATTGACTTGCAGTTGACCTCCTCTCTTCAGGCAGTAGTTAAGTGTCATACGTGATACACGCCTGGGCGATCATGTGACTTTCGACTTTGACTAGGCAGAAGATTTTTTCTGCAGTAAGTTGCCATCTCTTTCTGCAATAGACTGGCTGCCAACCAAGGCTAATAGCTTGGTAAAAAGAGATGGATCCATACCTGTGTGAGACATTTTCATGACGGTCGTCCTCGAGAATAGAATCCAGAGTTTGGCAGTGAATATTTCGGAGACAGTAGGAAAGCGTAGTTTAGGTTCGCCGTGGATATCACAGCAGAGTGTAGTTCATCTTCCTCCTGGTCGCCTTTGGTCCTTACGGTAGAGGAAACAAGATGGCCGCCTTTATACACGTGGTCAACCTTCTATTGGTCGACTTTAAAGGGAAAGAAATCATTCTGACTCGCTCACTAGTTATATATAATATACCCCAAAAACCGTAACAACCTGCGTAATATGAATCAAACAAACTCGACTAGAATTCGAACTCTTCTATTTCTTATTCTGAGGCGACATCCATTAAACCATAATGCACATCCTCTTCTCTTCCCTCGCTCGAATAGATGAATGAGGGCAACGTCCAATAGCAGAAACATTAGTCGAGTATCGTTTCAGCTTATGCTATGTTCGGTTCTATTTCAATTACATCCCATGCTTTGAATGTCCCAAGTTCATTCAAGTCCTCAATACAGTGCTAAAGATTCTGGAAAATGGTTAGATTATCTTATCACTCCATGTATTATCCGGTTCTTTCTACCATGCTTTCTCTTTACAAGACCAGGGGCCGTCAATCTTTTTCGACCAGAGAACACCTTTTGTTTCTGATATGTCCCGGAAAGGGATATATTTGTTCGAAGTAGCAAAGTGGTTGTTGACTACCGTAACTGGGTAGGACAATCTAGCAGGTAACCGTAATGGACTGGTCCTCGTCGTAGTGGTAGGCAATAGGCGTAGTCAATAGGCGAAGACAATAGGGGAAGACAATAGTACCTCCACATCAGTCTGTATTTATAGCAGACACCAGCCAATCATATTACTGTGAGGGGGAACCCACGTGTATGCATATTGATTACATCAGTTTCATTTCATTTCCCATGGATCCCCGCCCAATTTAAAATATCTTTGAACCTTAAAACTCGAACTGATGTTGGCAAATAAAATGCTAATTAAAATGTATGAACAGTTAAGAAATCTGAAGCGGTTTCAACGTCTCCTCTCTCTCTCTTGTTCTTTTGTAACGGCATTCACCCGAGGTGGGTTGAGACGGCTCCAATATTGGAGTTTCATGGGAATTTGGAATTCACAAGCACATGAGATTTGATTATAGTGGTGAAGGTTTCGTGCAGGACCATCCACACTTTTTGAAGGGCCGATTACAGAGACCTGGTGGACTACGTGCCACAAGGTCCCCATATGACCCTCCGCAGGATTTGAATTCAGAGTTTTCCTTCTCCTAGACCAGTTGCCATCCAAAGCTATAGAACCCAGTCTATCCTGCTATTTACCCATAGCTGGAGAGAGAAGAAGAGGATTCACACCTTTCCCAAGGGTGTTAGCAAGTATGTGAATGTAATGGATTCGAATGTAATTCGAACTCGGTTCTCCGATTCCATTCGAACTCGGATCTCCGATTCCGGTTTCAACATCCTCCCCCCAGCGTCATCAGGTTCAGAATTCCCTCGTCTCCAAATATATTGAAGAAATATATCAAGCATCCTCAATGGATCAAGCAAATAAGATACTAAGTACACCAAGCCAAAATACAGCCGTTGCTATTGAACTGAAATACATAACGTCTGCTAATATCCAATTAATATGGTATTTTTTTGCAAAGAAGAGGGTTAGAACCGGGAGTGGATTGTCTCAAATGTAAAGAAGCTAAAAAAATTAGTGGCCTGTAAAAGGTACAAAGGCGGGTATGCTTGAAGATGTATGAAAAGAGCAGGTGCTTCATACCAAAAATATAGCAATACCAGAACGGACTCTTTTTGATACGTTGGAAAATTCTTTAAAATATATTATTAGAGTAGTGGTTAAATAGAATACCAGGCAATCAATATACAACATAAAAATGCCTTGGATATAAAAAAAAGTACAATAGTTAATATATTAAACAATCTCAAAAAAAAATAGCAAAGAGAGATTTTAACCGAGATAAATTAGGTTGGACTTCTATTGTTGTGCAAGTTGTTCGCACACCGACCCCCATTAGAACCCTTTGACAATCATCGACCCCTGGAACCTATCACCGATCCATAGATGTTTACTCTGGCCTCGTTTGGCAAACCATGGATTAGTCCAAATATGTAGTATTGCTGCTCTATCAAGGCTATAGTTGCTCAAGCATCACTTGTCCAAACTTGATATAGTTCAAAATCGTTTATGCAGTCTTATGGGAAAGACTTATTCCTGACTCTGCGAACTCCCCCCCACCAGCCGCAAGGTCACAAGCTTATCGTAACTCTGATGCTATTGCTATGAGAAATGTCCAGGAGAATTCCACTTATTAGCTGCACTAGTATTGACCTTTATTGTTAGGACTCACAGTGTTATTTCCACGGAATTGAATCACCCATATTTTCCCTGTATTCCATTTGTAATGAGGAAGTTCTACCCGGACATATTTTCTTGTCTCGAGAGAACTGTTGCTCTGTGGAACAAACTCACATATTGATGCTCCTCTGAAAACTTTGTGTTTACAGCCGCATCACGTTGAAACACCGGTTTTCGTACGATAATCGAAGTTAAGCAATATCGAGCCTGACCAATACCTAGATGGGTAACCACTTGGGAATACCAGGAGATGTAAACTTAATAACTGATCGAACAACTGAGTTCTAATTCCAGTCGAGTTTGTTACATTCATTCACACGCAAACACTCTTGGGAAAGGGATGGATTCACCATTTCTCCCTCAAGTATGGGTTAATTACTTGCTTCAAACATCATTATTATCTTCAAGAATTCTTTCACTCTTAAGAACGACGGATTCTTTTTGTAGATGGGGTATTTTCTAGTGAAAATCATATTATTAGGTTGGTGCAAAAATAATGACGTAATGATGTCGTTTTTGGACGCATTTTTTAACGTCAAAAAACGACATCATTATGTCATTTTTTTGCACCAACCTAATATTAGCAAAAACCAGATCTCTGTCTGATTCCTCTATCTGCAAATCTTTTTATGAAAATAACCTTAAATTTTAAATTTTAATCAGTGTAAAAGTGTTTGACAGGTCTATTGTTACTACTGTGTGTGTCGTGGTGAGGAATGAGATTGTTGATGAAGGACACAGGCGTGTCCGAAAATTCCGAACATAAAACCTTTCTCAGTGTGTTTCATTTCTGTCATATGGTTAGTATTTAACAAATGATTATATGACTGTTTATATTGGTACCCTTTCGTTTGACCTTATTTTAATAACCAAACTATATATATATATATATATATATATATATATATATATATATATATATATATATGATATTAATACATGTATATACTGGCTTCAGAGTGTTTAAAGCACCAGAAAATGAATATAATAAATATTTTAAACGTAATATAATTATTTTACAGACATTTTGAAATTTTATTAAATAATTATATATATATAAAATTTTAATTCGTTTAATGTTGCGATCAAGATCTTTAAAAGTCGTTCTCCGTATGACGTTTTACGATACCCGTATACTTATATATATATATATATATATATATATATATATATATATATATATATATATATATATATATATATATATATATATATATAGAGAGAGAGAGAGAGAGAGAGTGAGGAGGGTGAAAAAGAGAGTGCAATGGATTATTTGTCGTTTGAATTGCGCAGAAATTAAAATAACACTGACATATATTTTCCAAAATTACACAAAAATATCTTGAAATACTAAAGAGTAAATTTATTTAATATAAACACAACTGACTTCAACCACGGACTCCAGACGATATCGGAATATCCTGCATCTCTTCTTGATCGTCTCCTTGGTTAAGTTGGTTAAGGCAGCTTTAATCCTTGCTTTCAGTTCATCTTTGCTATTCCAGAGAGTTTTGTTGGTTTCTCACTCAACTGTGTTCCACACATAATGATCTAGGGGTTTGTAGTCTGGGGAGTTTGGTGGCCAGATGTAAGGGGTGATGTAGTCGCAGTAATTGTCTGACAATAATGACTGGGTCCTCCTTATTGTGCGGCATGGTGCAGAGTCCTGTTATCTTATATTAGTCACCCTTTTGACTCAGAACAGCACTACTTCCTCAAAGTACTTGACGTAGGTCTCCATGATGAGTCTGAGACCATGTCGGAAGGTGAATGGAGGAATAATTTCGCCCTCACCAATGATCACTAGAAACACGATCGCAATCGCCATTAGTTTCATCCAAGTCTTTCCGAATGCTCTGCACTGTCCTCAGATTGACGCCCAAACACTCTGAAATGTTTATATTGGAACTTCCGGCGCGAATGCTTAACTGTACAACATGTCTTTCCCAAATTTCTGGCGGAGTGATTTGCGTCGTGGTACTTTTTTTTTTCTCAAAGACGGTGCTGAACTGACCTTACCGTACTGTGCAGTCGATAAAATAAAAAACAAACAACGAGCGTTACATTTGTAACATTGAATTTAAAAGTAGGCTTAATACAGAGTAGAACAATATCAATATATATCTATCTATCTATCTATCTATCTATCTATCTATCTATCTATCTATCTATCTATATATATATATATATATATATATATATATATATATATATATATATATATATATATATATATAAATAAGTTCGTCTATCACCTGGTTCTCCTCGTCCCTGGTTTTTTGAACAGGGATAGGGGTTTATCCCTTGTTACCTAATTAGGACTAGATTTCTAAATTTAGATTCTAAAGCCTACTTCAAATTTATAATTTCAACTTCTCCGCCTGAACTCTGAAATTTTATTTACTAATAATTTTTCCTTTTCAATGGGAGTAGATAGATTCGCCTATCATCCGACTCACACCCCTTCCCTATCTTTTGAACCGAAATTAGAGTTTTCTCCCTTGATCCCTGTTTAGGATTGGGTTTCTGGTTTCTTTTCATTCTCATTCATTCCCAGTAGCTCCTTGCGTTTTAATTCGTTGCATTATCGTCTTGCTTGTGGTGAATTAATAAAAAAGATACAATATCACATCTTTGAAATATTTAATATAAATAGAATAAAAAGCACATACCTACACATAATAATGAGACATTCATTTTATGCTGCCTCGCTCAATTTAATCGTTAAACCTCTTGTCACCGTGAACTTTGTTTTAAAATTTTAGCTTTCTAAAGAATACTTGGATGTGTTGCCCACCACAGAGAATGCCTATGTTCCTTGACGTCTGAAAATGCTTTGAAAAAATAAAAGCATAAGAACGGGAAATATGTCCACGTCTTTGATTCCAACATATAAAGTCTCATTCTAAAACTGGAAAAATACAATAAAAAATGAAAAATACCGACTTTGTCAGTTGAATTTAATCAAACATATTTGTATACACACACACACACACACACACACACACACACACACACACACACACACACACACACACACACACACGGAGACATATATATATATATATATATATATATATACTAGTGGAAAATATACATACATATGCAAAATATATAAATACCCATATATGTATATTTTTAAAAAAAAAATTCCAAGAGGAAGAATCCAGGTAGAACTCAATGTCTAGGACAGAGTAAGGATATAATAAAAAGGCTTAAACACTAATATTCCATGGTCATAATTTATTCCATTGGAATCGTAAATACGATCAATTCATCAGACCTACAAATTCAAAAAGAAAACAGAAAAAACAATTTGTTTTATTTACGTTTTTCAATGGAATAAATTATGACCAAATATTAATGTTTAAAGCCTTTTATTATATATATATATATATATATATATATATATATATATATATATATATATATTTATATATATACCACTCATACTCGACTCGCCCGTCAAATTCGACGTATGAGGGTCAAGCAGATCGGTTCCTAGGAAACCGACAGCTCGACAACAGCACATACGATTTGATTATAGTGGTGAAGGTTTCGTGCAGGACCATCCACACTTTTTGAAGGGCCAAATACAGAGACCTGGTGCACTACGTGCCACAAGGTCCCCAAACGACTCTCCGCAGGTTTTGAATTCAAAGTTGCTCTTCTCCTAGACCAGTCACCATCCAAGGCTATAGAACCCAGTCTGCCCCTGCTATTTACCCATAGCTGGAGGGAGAAGAAGAGGATTAACACTTTTCCCAAGCACGTAAGTGAATGTTATGGATTTGACTGTCCGGTTCCTCAATCCAAGCCGCTATCCATTAGGCCACCATGCCTCCTTCATATATATATATATATATATATATATATATATATATATATATATATATATATTAAAATTAATTGATTTAAAATATGGTTATTTTCGCTACACAGTTCAACCATGTTTCAAAAATAGAAGCTAAAACCCCTAATTTTATTTTTGCAAATAAATTAAAAGCATTAGTTCTATTTCATCTTCAAGCGAATTTTGGAGTAACTTTTAAAATTTACCGGGTTTTAAATACACAGCTAAAATCACGTTTCCATGGTTACAGAATATTCTACTCAAATTGAACACGGGGTGTCTAGATTTTCCTTTATGACAGTATCATTGTATCAGTTATTAGCTACATTTTGGTAAGGGGTGAGGATGTATTTTACACTGAAACCTGACGTCAGTTTTTTTTTTTTTTTTTTTAAATTCAGACGACATCCATTCAACCGACGTCAGGTTTCAGTGTAAAATACATCCTCTAATCAATTAATTTATAATATTAATGCTCTGTAAATTTACATTGAGCACTATTTTGTAAAAATAAAATATCTATAAGAACACCGGATTTTATATCTTACTGTTCTTTCTTTTTATATATATATATATATATATATATATATATATATATATATATATATATATATATATATATATATATATATGATAGCTCTGGTGAAAAATCTACGACTGATGCCAAATCGGTTGGTTTTCGATGGATGTCTATTCACACTGATGAGCTGTGATACAGCAAATCAGTCTGTCTGTGGATGACACACATATACGCCTGATAAAAATAAAATTCGGTCGAGCACTTTAGCGAATTTGTAAACAATGACTGCTACTGCTGATGCAAACCTACTTCTTTGAATTGAGCACTCTGAGTCACTGGCGTATTTATTCTAAAATACGTAAAAATTCACATTCCTCTCTGCCGGGAGCTGATAGCTCAGGGGAAAAATCCCCGACTGATACCAGATCGGTTGGTTTTCGATCCTGGCTTGAGGCAATCGGATGTCTAGCACTGATGAGCTGCGATACAGTGAACCAGTCTGTCTGTGGATTACACACACACACACACACACATATATATATATATATATATGATTATAATTTTATCATGTAGACAAAACCATTTTAATCACTACAAAGATGCAACTTGGTTTCAGTGTAATCCTTTTTTTTAAATGTATATTTTTCTTCTCAAACAAATAGTAAAAAAAGGAAGTGACGTTTCACATACGGCTTGCCTACAAGCAGGTTTGTTCATAGCCATTTTAAATTCTCACCCGTCGAAGTGCAGTTGATATGCATAAATAAAATAATAAATAAATAAAAATAATTATCGCTCTACTATCGGACCCTCTTTTGGATTAATGCTCTGAACGTTTGAATTTATATATTACTTTCGTTCTCATCGCATCGGATATATATAT